AATCTTGGAGCAAAGTGAAGTGACGGGGCGATCAAATTAAAAATGCAAACTTGAGCACTTTCTCTCCGTCTCTCTCTCTGTCTTCGCTGCTCTCTCCCTGTGTCTCTCCACCCTCCTTTCCCAGGCCTGAGCGAGCAGCCAGCAGAGCCATCTTAGAGTCGGGAGGGGGGAAAAAAAGGAAAGAAATCGAGGCCCCTGGGCTCTTTGGCTCCTTGGCTGGACGACAGTTTCCTGGCCTGAAGGGGTCAGCGGTGGGCTGCCTGAGAAACTGGCAGCCATTGGGGCTCCAGAGGGGATGTTTTTCAGTAAAAGAGGGGGGTGGGGGGTGTATCTTGTGGCTGGTTGGCACAGAGCGGACACTGACAGTTTCCAAATAGTGTTGTTCCTGCCAGGGCCCGCTGAGCTCTTACACATTACACCAAACACAGGAAAAGACCAGAGGCACTCGAGGCCTGGTGTTATAAAGCCCCTGACAGACTCCTAAGAAAACGATAGGGTGCCTTATTTATTTAGGGTGCGCACAGCAATGTTTTTATAACTCTCAATTCTCCAAACAATTATACATTGCAACATGGTGTATGGAGAGTACGTTCCCTGGCAGGAAGAAGCCTTCATGATTGCTCTAATAAGTGGTTTTTAACCCCTTAGCAGTCCTACAAATTTTGCCTATAAGGGTTAGCAGTCGGACGTACCGTGGGCGGTACGTCCGACTGCTAAGGGGTTAATCATCCTTAATTTTTTTCTTTTTTTTTTTACATGCTGTATAATATAGTATTATTGCACTTTACTAACATTTGACAATAAAACCTTTTCACAAACTTTTTGGTTGAATCTACATGTGGTTGCTTTAGGATCAAAACTGCTCGCATTACATTAATATCAGACTGTATATAGAAGATGCACACATCCACCATGACATCACACACTGGTCAGTGGACTGTTGTTCTGAGGCCTTAACTTCAGCATTCGGCTGTTGCCATCATCAAGCTGGAAGTGATCATAGAGGGAGGAGTGCTCCACCACCACTACAACCACCACAACCACTGGGACAGAACACTGTTAATTATTATGAGCGCACGGACCAATGGTGGGATGTAACTTAGTACATATATTGGTGAAGTATATGTTTAATGTACTTGTACTTGTATGTCTTACTTTACTTTGCACCTCTGCGCTGATACATATATGCATATATTGTCCTCCACACTGTTTATTAATCCTGAACACGCCTGTCAGCCAAACAAGCCACGCCTGCTAACACTGCCTAACTGTGAGCTTCAAAACAATTAAAACAAGCGAGTTAAACAGAAGTTCAGCTGCTTTCTATTTGTCAAAGATGGCTCAATAAACTTTTGGAGCCAGCCTCCAGTGGCCATTAGTGGAACTGCACTGTCGCTTCATGTTTCAGTCCCAAATGCTGCCACCCAAGCTTCCCAGTAAAAGCCCGAGATTGGGACAGTGAGGAGAGAAACTGGGAATCAGTCATCACAATCATTTGTCATAAACATAACCAATGAAACACTCAGCACTGCAAACATGCTGACAGACAAAGGACGTGATCTCTCGTCGAGTCTGGCACTTTCTATAAACGATTATTTTTACTTTAAGCTACGAACATAAGGAGAGTCGGGTCTGAGCAAAACAGTGAACCTGCGCGGCGGCTCTTCCAGCTCCAGCGTGTGACTGTGTGTGTGAAGCAGAGGAAAGTGTAAAGCGTTGCTGCCTTACTGCTTTGCTGATAACGCAGCCAAGCGCTATATGAGAGCAGTACATTTACATAATGAAGCCATAAGTTAAACGATGAGCCGTTTTACCACGGTTTACTGCGGGTCAAGAGCATCGCACTTAATTAATCATACCTGTGGGTGCAGTGTCACCTTCTGGACACATGCTGCACGCTGCACTCCCACACGCTCACCCTCGTTTCAGCATGTGAGAAAGAAAAGAGGGCATCTTTGATGCAGAGCAACCGGTTCAGTCGTGAAACCGTGATGCCAGCATCTGACGTCAGGCAGAGCAGTGAAGAAAGGCCCGCGTGACCTCTGTGTGACCTCTGAGCACGACTGCCTGATGAAACATAGTTACAGCCTGAGTCTGCGCTACCTTGAGAGTGAGGAGGAGTGATTGCCTTCCATCCAGCACCATGTCGAGGATGCTTGGGGGAGAAAGGCAGTTGATTTTTTATCTAAAAGAAAAAGAAGAAAAAAGTTTCATCCAGCCTGATGTGCACTCTTCCTTTTCCCCCTGTATGTGAATCATATTAAGTTTAAGTGTACCTAATAATGACTCTATTATTACATGTTTATCTTTGGGAAACCCAAAGCTGCAAGGCAACCAGTACATTTCACACAACGTACTTAAATACACAAAGTGATTTATACATACATGAAGTCATGAAAGACAAGTGACTTTTGAAGCTCGACTGTGTTGTGATGCTGCAGCTAAAATAAACTTCCTCATGGTCGTCCTGTGATGTTTCCATCCGAGCACATTTTTCTCTCTTTAATTGTTCTTTGTTCCTTTTACTTTAAATCTTTCTCAGGTGACTTTCCCCCCTTCGGACTGACAAGCTCTTCCATCTCCTCGCGTTCATTTCTCCTTTCACAGCACTTTTTTTTTCCAGCCTCCGTTACATCCCCTCGCCTTTTAATGTCTCCCTTTCAGCCTTTTTTACTTATTTGTTTTACCTTCGTCCTCTTTCTTTCTCCCCTCACCGAGTCTTCCTTTTAATCCCCGTGTCTGCTCGGTAAACCCCTCTTTACCCCTCGTCCTCCTCTTATTCCTCTTTACCCTCGTCCCTCGGCTTCTCCTTCGTATTTCCATATCCCCGAGCTGATTCCCCTGTCCCCCTCACTTACAGCCTGTTGTATTCCCTGTCTCTCTTCTCATCCGTTTATCACTGGCCCTTGTTCTGTTAATCCCCGAGGGTTTTGTTTATTTGTGTTGGAGCTGCTTTTACAGCTTGCGACTGACCCCACCTATTTTCTCACCAGTCATTTGAACAGCAGGGCTGCTTTGCAGCTACTCCACCAATTAACATACCATTAGCATAATATTTGCATGTGTGCATTAGGGTGTTGATGGGAAGAGAAAATAACAGTTTTACAGGGTTTTTTTTCATGCCACAAAAAAATATACATATTTCACGGACTGACGTTAAAGCACCCACGGGCTTCTTTATCTCGCTTTGATTCTGCTGCTGCGCGGTGAAAAATCATCCTGTTTTCAAGTTTACTGTGAAAAGTTCTGCTGCTCTCGTGTGATTGGCCCACCTACACGTTAGCATCTGATGGTGATGAGTTCAGTCATTTCTACTTGTCTAATTTGTTATGTCACCATTATGGTTCGATCAACCTGTTACATAAACGTCCATGTTTTTTTTACCTTTTTAGAGTAAAAGATAACAAACAAGAAAAACTTGGTGAAGGTCGGCTGTTTCCTGCGTATGAAATATAAATGAAGACTTGTATATGTTTTGTAAATATTTGCAGGAGGACGACAGGGACACACGAGGTCAAAGGTGAAGGGTAGAGGCTAAAGAGGAGGGTATAACGGTGCCCATTCAAAGTCTTATGAATGAAAGAAGAAAGGAGCACAAATCTCTGAGAAAGACACGCAGACGAACACTCTGCACAGATGCATGAATGGAAATAAACAAATGTCGATGGAGACGCACCGACGGGGATACAGAGGGCTGAAAGTAGGCCAGCTGCCGGCGGATTGAGCCGGCGAGCGTTTCATGTGAGAGCTGCGGCTGAAGCGGAAGGGCGACGTGTCAGGGGCGGCAAGCCAGTTTTCCCGGCCTCGACTGGGGATCAGCCCCCCGGGCCTCGCTGTTCCCCTGCGTGCCACGCCTGTCTCTCACACGCCGCCGCTCTCAGATCTGTCACATTAGGCCCGTCGCTCAAACACCGGCGACGCTTTGTTTTTGTTTGCCTCGTGTCACGCCGATTACTCCGCTCGTTGGAGGACCCGACTGAGGGAAGCGGATGAAGTTGCGCTCAGGTCACGCCGGCCATTTACCGCTAATGTCCGCTTGGTCACTGGCCATGTTTTCCAATCAACACCCCCACCGCCATCTCACCCCCGTTTGTCTCAAGGCTCGTCTCGCATTGACTCACCCCCCTCCCTCCCCAAGAAAGAACAGATGCCAGACACAAGTGATTGAACGTAATTTGTCATGTTTGCATGCAAAGACACAAGGACCGAGCGGGGCTGTCATGTGATGATGCGATATGTTCTACATGTGAAATGTCACACATTAATCCGCGTGCAAAGCTCCTCACACTTAAATCACGGAGAATAAAGTGACTGGGTGGCCATGTGCCAAAATGATTTTTTTTCTTTTAAAAATATATTGAATATACCATATGCCTGCACGTCTATATTTTATTTTACATCTCTGCACCATGTGACTTCGTTTTTATGGTTTGAGTGCAAACGCTTTCTGATAAGGGATTATTTTATGGACTCTTAATGCATCAGCCACCTGATATTAATGGCCAGACGCACAGCCTCTTCTCTTATTTCACTTTTCTCCCCCCTCTCCTATTTTTTCCCTTTTTTCTTTTACAAAATGAGACATGACTGATGAAATATTTGGGGGAAAATGGCAGCTTAAGTACTTGCTGAAATCATTTTTATGATGCTTTCATTTTGGGGGGGTAAATGATGCTGCAGTTTGTGTAGACATTAGTATGTTAGACTGAGGATTAGCTGCTCTGCCAGGATCAAAGATGAAAGAAGAAGGAGGAAAAAAACAGACAACTAGACCCGCAATCGTGTAATGATCTGGGTTGTAGTGTAGAATTAATATATAATTGCATTTTTAAAAATTGTGTTCGCCTCTAGAATCAATGAGATAACAGTGCATTTTCAAAATAAAGGACCTAGTTTTTACCCTTCTTTTCTCATTTTTTAAAATAAAATAATAAACTATATTTAAACAGGTTCATTTTAGATTGAACGTATAGCAACCACGGCGATAATTATTAGCAATTTAGCAGTGTGCTGCTATCCTCCCCAGCTTTATCGATAAAAAATAATAAGTAATAAAACAACATTAATACAATCAAATTCAATTCTAGGCTCACACTGCATGATTTCAAAAGCAATGCCCGCCTTACCCTTTATGCGTGTGTGTGTGTGCAGTCCTACCTCCTGCATCGTGCAGTATAAATGGAGTTATATATAATATCTAGAAGGCCTGTTGGCCCTGGCTGCTGTGCTGCACTCAGCTCTCTAGCTGCTCTTGTCTCTGTATAATCCTCCTCCTCATGAATACATTAACGCCGGAGCCTTAAACTCAGCTTAGCTGGGGGCTCAGCGTCACAGCACATCCTATTACCGACTTTAAATCATTAATGTGACATCGTTTTCACTCAATTTCCAAACACCCACGGTTCGAAGAAAAAAAAAGCTGTATATTTGAGCCGAGGCAGTGCAGGCAGAGGGCCGTGCTCACAGTCACGCCAGGTGCGCGTTCACGCATTCAAGTTTTGTTGTTTTATTTTTTCAAGCGATCCACGGGCTACTGGGCCTGCGCAAAAACTTTGAGGAAATTAAATCAGAAAAATAAGCAGGCATTCAAATGTAAAGATGTGCTCATTGTAATAGTTTCCCCTCTTTGGTCTGAGCTATTGTGCTGGAAATACCCGCTAGATATAAATGTGGTTTAAGCTGAGCAAACTCCTACAGTACACCTTAGGGTGTGTGTGTGTGTGTGATTTAATCTGAGTATAGCCACTGTTTGCTTCCTCCAGCATCTCACGTACTGCTGACAATAAAGAAAAAAAAAAGGGGGGGGGGGATCTGAATCCCCTCTCTGCTCCTCAACTATTCACACATAAACCTTTTCTCAGATTTTACCTCCAGGCCGCCTCTGAAAAATTCACAAAGCCCAGAAGGAAAAAAAAAGAAAGAAGTCGTCCTCTTAATGTAGGAGTTGTGGATCTTCCCCCATCCTGCCTCTTTATTGCATCAAAAGGGTCTCTGTGTGTGTGTAGTTATGGTAATTACCAAAGCACGTAAAATCATCTCCTTGGAGTGCATTTAACTGTTTTCACGCACAGCGCGTCGAGCCGGGCTGTGGAGGGGGTTTAACATATGGACACAGATGGGGGGGACAGTGCTTTAATGGGCGCCCTGAGTGGGGTTTTGTGTTTTTTAACCCTTCAGAAGTGGAGGCACGAACATCCCAAACCTTCTTAAGCGAGCATCAATTAAAGATTTCACTTTTAAAACTGGTGACAGCAGCACAGCCAGCACTCTGACAGGCCGGGGAGGCTTATATGGACACTGCGAATATAGGCTACTCTTCTTCTTTTTATGATTAGCACACACACACACACATTTCATCACTTACACCCCCCCTCCAGCCCGTCTCCCCGTGTTCCCTTGTTGTGCTTAATTAGGTTATCAGGTTGCTAGTGGGCCATGATTCTTCTCCACGCCTCCCAGCTGGCCCTCTGATTGGAGGGGCAAGAAGGTGGACTTGGCATAATTAACACGTTGTTATGGAGATGATTGAATCGTTTGGCGACACATGGGCTCACATTAAGCCACTTTAGAAAGAGGACTGAAGAAACGTCGACACTCCCAGCACTACTACTACTTTAAAAAGTTGTCTGTCTGCTCGTGTGTTTATGCTGTGGTGTGTTCACTGCACTATACCTTAAAAAAGAGGGGGGAGTGGTAGTGTACATTTGTATGTTGGTGTGGGGAACCGTAAAGCCGTGCGAATGCGTGGAGGAAAAGAAGTGACCAGGACCAGGACAAGTTTTTTTTACTGAACACATTGCTGTCTTTATTAGAGCCTTGTCTGGCAGTAATACTGAAAAAAAGTGAACTTAGAACAGATGGTGGTGGCAGCCCACGGCTTTTTTTCCCCTGTTTTTCTTTATTTCTTTGATATTTTTCTTCTTTTTTTGTGCGAGTGCTGTGACTCTTGCTTTTTCTGTGGCATGGATAACATCAATAAAAGAGACAGTAGGGAGAGGAAGAAAAAAAAAAGAAATATACAACTTATATTACACTGTGTTATGAACAAAATATAAATCTATAACTCTATGTTATATTTACATAATTATCTTTCTTGAATTTTCAAGTTGAGATGGTAAGATATTTTTTTTTTGTTTACTAGTAATAATTCTCACTTTGTTTTGAGCTCCACTCATGACTTTGATTGTCTTAAATAATATCATCATCATCATCATTTTCATTGTCTTGATATGGGGACGGACCTTGCCAGCAGGGATGACTGATCTCTTAATGCCCCACCCAAACACCCACCCTCCTGATACTGTTTTAAAAAATGGACTTATTCATTTAGTCCCCTCTTTCCAGCATGGGGTTCAACAAAGGTGTGATAACAGGGGTGACTATACAGCAAAATTAAGACCCAGAAGCTTGTTATGTGGCATGTAGGAAACATCTATAAGCGAGAATGTGACATGAAAACAGCACACCTGAAGAGCAGTCATGGCTCCTGTAGCATCGTGTGGAGCTCAAACAAAGCAAAGGGCTCCTGATGAAGATACTGCAGACCCACACGCGCACACAGTGGAACAGCCTTGGTGGATTGCAGTAAACACTGCTTTCTCATGATTAAAAAAAAGTCACTGCTACCACAAAAAACAAAAACAACAACAACAAAACAAAACAAAAAAATGTCTATATACAGGATTTTTTTCAAGAAACAAAAAGGACAGCATAGGATTTGTTTGGTTGTCATGATAATCTCTTCATTTGAAATGTGCCTGTATGTGTTGTATCTGCACATTTGGGATGTACTGATATATCGGTTGAATATATTATCAGCTAATATTGACCCTCGTTGACAGATATTGGCAAATAGGTTTTATTTGGATTAATTCTTTAAAAAATCCAATAAAAGACTCTAAAACTGGTCAGGTGGTATCTCTTTAAAACAATTTCATTGCTTCACTGGTAAAAAAAGAAAAAGAAAAAGGGGGGTGTATAAATACCCCCCACCCAAAAAAATGTATATATATATATAAAAATGGCCGATATATCGGCCTAATATCGTTATTGGCCGATATTCAATCCTGCTGATTTCGGGATATTAACAAATAAGACATCCTTTATTCTGAATGTTCAAAAAATGTGCGATGAAGATCTGAAAGACTTTCAAACAGGTCAGTATATTTTTGTACAAAAGAAAGACACTGAAAAAATATTGGTATTGGCTGTCAGCTACATTATAAACATCAGTGTTGGTATTGGCCCAGAATTTCATCGGTGCATCCCCCAGTGCGCACGCGTGTGTGTGTGTGTGTGTGTGTGTGTGTGTGCGCGTGTGTGTGTGTATCCATGCCAAAGATGTTCCACTGTGTCGCCGTGAGGCAGCCAAACTAGTAAACGGGGACGGGTCTCTGTTCACAGAAAAAGTGACAAACCAAAAACATGTAAAAATTTAAAAAAAAAGAAGAAGAAGAGGAAATTCACATTATACATTATGATAATCATTACAAATAAAATTATAATAACAATATAAAATCATGTTCTTCTTCTCTGACTGCACAGAGTCTGAGTGCTTCTTAGAAATGGGTTCGGACATGATAAAAAGGGTTACGTCTTCAGTTCGGACGAAGGCTGGCGTCCATGTCTTTCAGTCCAGCTCACCCGCCCGCAGAGGATTAATAGGAGGGGATCAAAAATAAAATAACATAAAATAAAATTGCAAAACAAAGCAAGGTAAAATGACAACTTTTTGTTTAGATCTAAATACCTACCAGCTAAATAGAATAATGCTTCATTGACTGTTTCATATGGTCATAAAAACCCAATAAAGAGGAGAAAAATAAATTATACTGTACATAACTTACTAAACTTAGGAAACGTTGACCATCCTTATAATTATTGTTAATAATATTATTAGACTAGAGGCAGTTTGAAGAAAAATAATAATAAAATACAGTATTCAAATACAAACAGAAACACTGACTGGCTGACTTCACCTCAGCTCCGCCCACTGCAATACAGCAGGACAACGTTGATTGGAGGGTGGGGGGTTAGGAAAACACTGGACAGAACACAGTGTGCGTGTGTGTGTTACAGGAAATAACAGCAGCAGCATTAGTTGCCTGTCTTTCTGCAGTATTATTAGCTTTCTTTTTGCGAGCGCGTGTGCAAACGTCCAATGGTGGAGCACACACACTGACACACACTCGCACTGTTGGGATGTTTCGATCGAAGTCGCACTGATGTGTGGGTTTTTTTTGCCCTGGACGAGATCGAGATAGAGGGATGGAGCGAGAAGGAAACCGGTGGATTGTCTCGCAACACAGTGCTTTTGTTTCTGCTCCGTGACGCCAGAGAGACTTCCCTTTGCTGCAACCCGCCCCTCCCCACACACCGAAAATCCACTCAAAGTGGGACAGTCCACTTTGTGCTGGTCAGTCCCGGCTGGACCGTCCCATTTGATTCCATGCGATGCAAGGAGGGGAGGGGGGGTAAGCGGGCGGTCACAAAAAAAACACAAAGGGGGAGAAAAATTGGGGGGGATTGCTGACAGCACACTGCGAGGTTGAAGAAAAGATATCTTTTTGTTAAAAATAAATGTCTCATGTCTTTCAGGTGCTTTACAACAAAAGGGGAAAAAAGAAAAGTCTCTTTTTTCTATTATTATTCAAACTTGTAGCACAAAAACAACAAATCACATTCACAAGCCACTTATTGGCACCGTGTACCTGAGTGAGAATATTATAGAACCAAAGAACAAAAAAAGCTGTTTTATTTTTAAAAATGTCTCTTGATAATAAACAGGTCCGCCATCTTAAAGTGTCATGTTAGCCTTTGACAGGTCCTCTGTTTTTCAGTTTTTCTTCAACAAACGGGACTAAAAGGTTGCTTTCTGAGAGCCATGTTGCTTTCTCTTCACTCGTGGCATTACACTCTAACACCTGCAGTACTATGTGGGTATTCCTCAGCGAGCTTCAGAACTGCCTTGGTCGTCTCTTCCTCCAGTCAGTGTGTAACAGTCAGTGTGAGTGACAGGTCCTGTGCTTCGGTTGATTGATCAAAAGATGCTGGTATCAGGACTCCGGGGGGAGAGGAAGGGGAGGGGAGTGGATCTGGCTCTATTAGAAGAGTCCATGTTAGTCGGGGGGGGGCGGTGAAACTGGTTCCAAAGCGATTGGCAAAAGCGAAAGGTTTCTTCCTGATTGGTGGGGATTTTGTGAGATTAACCAGCGGTGATTGGCTTACAAAAAAACAAAACAAAACACAAAAAGCAGGCGGTGCTGATGCCGTCCTATTGGGTGATATGGTTCTCGTTATCGCTGGCGTAGTCGCCATCTTCGTCCTCGTAGTCAAAGTCGTCGTACACGTCGCCATTGCTGTCGTCTAGCCTGAGCTCCTCCTCCTTGATTCGCGGCTCCTCCCCCTTGAGGCCAGGCATGCTGGGGTTCTGGTGGTGGTTGGCGTTGGGCTCGGGGCTGCTGGACATGCTCGAGTGCTCTGAGGGCATCTGGGGTGAGGGCATCCCCGCCATGGATAGGGCACCTGGGTAAACGACGCCTGCAGAGGACAACGGCAGCTGACCCTGCTGCCTGCACGCACAGAGGAAGAAGGCTGTCAGCACATTAAATGCAGCGCTCGCAACACTTTTGAAATCACATAAATGTTGAGATCCCTCCCTGAATGGTGACTCTCTCTCTTTGAGCCATTAAGAAAATTATTACACATATGGGGAAAAACTAAATCCCTTTCATATCTATGTGGTAAATATAAACCTACAGCCTGTGTGCTGTTAGCTTAGCTCCTCATTAAAACTGGAATTGAGAGAAAACTGACAGTTTGACGTCTTCAGTCTTTTCTCAAGCACCAACAGTGATTCTTAAAGCATCACGTCTGAAACCTCTGACATTTACAGTCAGCGTGTTTATAACCTGAGTGCGTGTTCTCAGCTAAACACTCAGAAACAGCTCTTACTCTCTAAACACAATATTGCACTTGATGTGGATGAAACCTCATGGCCTGACCCACACAGAACACATGATTTATCCTGATGTGTTTTTTAGAACAAATGCTTCTTTTTTTCAGAAAAGAAAAAAGAATTAAACTGCATTCAATCTGTAATGTTTGGATTCTACATCCATACTTTACACATCTGGATACCCATGTGCATGTGTGGTCACTTAAGTATATGGCCAAACTTTAATGCAAATGGCTTCACCATGTACGCACAACAGAAAAAAGCCACATTTGTAATTTGTACTCTCTGCTAATAATATTGTTATTAGCAGAGAGGTATGTTTATTCAAATGATGCTTTATGTTTCATGCAGGAAGACAAAACTGATTTATTTCTCTCATAAGATTTTTGGAACAATGGTTTGATTCATCGAGAGAGTTGTTGTAGTTTTTTGTTGTTGTTTTTTCAACAGCCTTTAGTTTCAAAATACAGGATATAAGCATATAAAATTAATAATATTAATACAACTGTAAAGGGACAAACAAAATCTTCCTATGGGCAACCATAAGGTTCAATTCTAAGTGGATAAAACCATATAAAGCATATAAAACTGTAGCTGTTGCTTCTCTTGAGTCATGATTTAGGAAAATAAAAAAATCAAATCAAAGGTAATATCCAAAAAACCATCCAAACAAAACTGTGCATTGTGCTTATTATCTCATGACACTCACTGTGACCCCTTGTGAGAAAAGTAAGCCTGCATCCTGTAGTTTAATTTCTGATATTATTATTATTATTTAAAGGACTGTATTTAAAAACACTGAAAATAGGAAATTTAAATCACACTAAAGGAGAACACCACCTGCTTCTGTTTATAACTAATTCAGCATCTTGTTGTCACGCCTGTTCCGACACAAAATTCAATTTGTTAAGGTGAGGGGCGGGCCTCGCTGCAGGTAGGCCGCAAACAACAAAAGGAAATTATGCAATTATGCGCTGACTTGCTTTCTCCAAATTTCTGCTGCGATCTTTTTTTTTCTTAGTAATTCATTAAAAACTGAAAGATTGATTGATTTTTTTAGGCATTTGATGTGACAGGAAAACAAAGAAAAAGAAACAGTAACTCATTTAAAATATGAAGTACAAAGTCAAACACATGCCCAAACAAAGTAATTGTTAATCCCTGTTTTCTTACTGGAAAAAAACCAACAAACAAACAAAGAAAGCCAACCCACTCACCCCACACTGAAGTACTGTCTCATTTCCTGCCTGCGGGACCTCATGATGGCCTTGTACTCGCCGATGCGCAGCTTCTTGCCGTCCACCAGGCAGGTGCGTTTGGGCCGTGGCTTGTACTTGTAGTCGGGGTATTTTTCCAGGTGCTGCTTGCTGAGCCGAGCCTGCTCCTCGTAGTACGGCTGCTTCTCCAGGTTGGTCATGGCTTTCCAGCGTGAGCCTGCACACACAGAGCATGTATTGTTAGGGATGGCTGCGTGTCTTTGGAAAAAATAAAATAAAAAAAGGCAGATGGGGGGTTTCCAAAGAGAGCTTTTGTCTAAGGGAGGAAACGTGTAAAACTGTGAAATGTGATCATAGAGCAAGACGACGAATAACAGCACAGAGATGAACGATAATGAAAAGCTGGCATCGATGTCGCTGCACTGTGAGCGCCGCTGAGATAATGTTGGACGTTTCACCCGGAAAGAGAACGCATAGAGCGCTAAAGGAGGTTAATGAGGGGAGCAGCGGGGACGACAGGTACTCATCTCAGCTAATGAGGACTTCACTTAACCTGCTGTCATCTCTCAGCTCAGTTTCTGCTTGCAGCATCAGCGCCCTGCATGTGTGTGTGGGTGTAATCTTGAGTATGTCTTCCCCCTGTGTGTTTCATATCTGGTCTGAATTTGCACTTGACTACTGTATGTTTAATGGTTAAAAGCTGTCAGCGCTCGGCTGTTCGCTCTCTCGGTCTTTCTCTCTCTGTTTTCTGCGATCTGTTAGCAATCGAGAGAGAGGGAGGGAGGGAGAGGGAGAGAGAGGAGGCTTATTAAAACCAGATTTCCCTGTGTTATAAAACGCTTAGGAGCTCTTTAAAATGTCAGGGCCGATCCCGGCGGTCTGGGGGAAATGTCAGGCGGCCTCGCGCTGCTTGTTTAATGCATAATGAATTATATCATCATTTGTCGAAGCTGTGCTCTCCCTAACCGTTCATTAACAGCACTTACACAATGCCACTGCTTGTAAGGAAATCACAATTAGTGTATGTGTGCGAGTGTGTGTTTAAGAAAGTGGAAAATACAACTCACACCGGTCTTCCTTTCTCTAGGGTTATTCACATGAGAGGGTGGAGCAAAGCCACTTTCACTTTCACTTTCACACCGTGCGAGTGTAGGTGTGTGATTTTTACCAAGGATCTTGCTGATGTTGGAGTTGTGCATGTCGGGGAAGGCCTGGAGGATCTTTCGCCTCTCGTCCTTGGCCCAGACCATGAAAGCGTTCATCGGCCTTTTGATGTGCGGCTCGCTGCTGCTACGACCCCGAGACTCTCGGAATATCCTGGAGTCTGACACGCTGGGAGAGCCTGGGGAAGGGAACCAGGGTGTCAAACGTATACAGAAATACAGAAAAGTTTTGTTCATTAGACGAGCTAAAATGCTGGGAATTTTTTTCATGGGCGAGAAAAATCTGTTGCTCATTAAGCTAAATAAATATCATAAAAATCATTTTTCTCATATTATAAAAAAGTCTGACTGACTCACTGATCACACGTTTGGGAGGACAGCGACTACACAGAGTTTTACTCTGTATGCTCAAGTTCATAGAAAGGTAACGGTTATTTTCTCTTTTATTCAGGAAAAACAAAAAACAAAAAGCTTAATTATGAAAATTATTGATATCATTAAAAGTCTTTCAAATCTTCATTACTCTGTCGTGGAACAATCAGTGAGCGAAATATCGTGGTGAAACAGATAAACAGCAAATTGGTAAACATGACCTCATTTGCAGGCAGGCTGATATCAGTTAATATAAATATTTGGCAGATATACGGTACCAGCCCTGGAAGACTTTCATCTTCTTGTCATCGTTCATCAACACTCACAGCCTTTTTCTCAGTTTAGTGACTCCATGCATAAACTGTGTGTCTGTGTGTGTGTCTGTTTCCCTACCGTCAGAGTCTCCACTCATGGTGAAGTCCAGCATGGCGTGGCTGAACTTGTTCTCGGCCTGCTGCTTCAGCTGTTGACTCAGACTCTCCAAGGCAGCTTTGTCCTAAACAACACAAACAGTTCACAGTTGCAGTCGGTCAGTGACTGAGTCAGGGAATATGTGAATGAATGAAACCACAAACCTGCAGTGATGCCGAACAATTTCCTTTTGCACCCACAACAAGTCATTCTTGTGACTGACTCTCTGTCTCTGATTTCATAACTATGAAAAGCAACGACTGTCTAATGTTTAAATGTGTCACAGTTTCAGTGACCGGAGAAGCCGACTCTCTGTCGAGAGATGAGAAATTCAGGAATATTCCTCATACTCGCCTTTGATCTGAAACAAATCTGTTTATTTATCGTTTTTCTATCAATACAGAGGCTGCAGACAAATGACGGTTGTAATTTAAGTAGAAAGGCAGTTTGTGTTTTGGTTCATTTCAGTGTCAGTTTGTGGAAGCATCAAATTGTTTGAGTGCGTTATGCCCGCATGTTTGAACACACATCTGTGTGTATTGTTTGCATGTGCAAGAATGTTGATTACATTTACTCCTATCTGGATGTTTGCCGCTTTGTGTGTACACTGCATATTCTGTGTGTACAATGGATTGTGTGAGTGGGCTTGTGTGTGTGTGACAACTCCTGGCAGCCACCTGCGAGAGTGGAGTGCTGCGGCTTGCCTCTCTCTTGCAGAGGCCCCCAAGGGTCGACGCATTAGAGAGAGAGAGAACGAGAGAGTGCAGCACAGACGAGAGCGAGGCCACGCCGCACGGCCCCCTGGGTATTTATTACAACCAATAAAAGGCTGATTTACTGAGCATTTACATGCTTAATGCAAGCAGCCGGCACACTCTGCGCTAGAACTTGACTGCAGACGAGCACACACGCTCGCACACACGTACACAGAAGCGCACCAGCACGAGCGTTTTACAGTTTAATTATACGATTAGGAGCGCTACCCAAAACACTGTCGTCTTCTAAAACAACCTTCCAAAAAGTGTCCCTCTCCATTTACATGTGACCCTGGCGAGCTGGCTGGCTAGATGGAGGGAGGGCAGAATGATAATGAAATGCATTTTCTCTGTTTTTAGTCCAATAGAGTTTAATTGTTAGCGATAATTTCCTCCCCAGATTGGAATAAATACTGCTAAAAAGACAGGAAGGGAAGCGGGAGAATAAAAGCCAGAGAGGCGCGCAGCGAAACATGTTTTCACAAGCCTTTTAAAAAGTATTTTATTTGGAATTTTGTATGTTTTTATAAATGCTCAATAACCTGCCAATGGGTTGGAATTATCCAGCCATTCTGCATGCAAATCAGAAGTATTTAAAGAACCTTCCTCATTTCGCACAAATGAAAGCCTCATTCAAACTTTCTTCCACAAAAAAAGATAAGAGCACAAAGTGTGCTTCTTACTTTTAGATCATAAGATTAAATGTGCTGTTTCGAATGGTTTTATGCCGTGTGTGTGTGTGTGTGTCTGTGTGTGTGTCTGTGTGTGTGTCTGTGTGTGTGAGGCAGAGATGGAGATGAACAGGGAGACCGAGTGGATGACAGCCTAGTCTGACATTAAACCCCAGTATAGTACATGAGAAACGTGGATTGAATGGCTGACACTGGAGCCAAGACACAAAGTAGCGACAAAACTAATCCTGTGTGTGTGTCATGGATGACACTGTTGTATGTGAACGGCGGGAGCTCGCCTGTTTCATACAAAGCCAAAGGGAACAGGAGTCAAGGTGAGCGTGTGAGGATGCAAACGAGTTATAACTTACAAAAAAATATTCCCAGTGCCGAAACTAAAAATGTTTTATAGTAACAGGATTGCATGTCAAAAAAAAGAAATGTAAAAAAGAAATAAGAATTTCTTTCAACAATTCTCCCGTTATTATTAATAAGTAATTATTATATAATTCCACAGTACAACTGATATAAAAAACTTATAATAACAGGAACTTGAACTGATCTAACGAGACATGAGAAATGTCAGTGTTTAAGCACCTAAATGTCTCCACGTAAGGAACAAACCGTAAAATACGTTCCCTTACTCACTGGTATAATTATCATATTTCCAGTTCTCACTGGTTATAGTCATGTGTAATGCAGTATGTTACTATCTGTGTACAATGCAGAGATCAGTGTGGGTTAGACACTTTGAAATGTGTCACATCAAAGTAAAAAAAACAAAAAGGAGAAAGAAAGAGAGGGATAGAGCTGTTGAATGTCAGCAGTGCAGATGCTTCCAGCACGCTGTTACCCTGCATGTATGCACCCGAGTGTGTGTTTGTGCGTGTGTGTGCACCAGCTGACTCCCAATGTGTTTAACAAATAACCACAATTTGGCCACGCTGCCGAGGAGCCGGCGCCGTCATTTCACATTACCGTCTCCTTGACGCTCTGCTCTGCCACACACACACACACACACACTCACACACAGCCCTGCAGTGCGCCTTACAGACACACTCATTACCTCTGAGATGCCTCTGGTTTTACCTTATCTGGCCCTGTTTAGCTTCAACACATTTCAGCGAGAGCATTGTACACCGATTTACCTCCTACATAGTGCAGCGAGGATGGCATATGGCAAGACAAATTATTACACGCTGACAATGAGACGGTACAGCTTGTGATGACTTTGGAGAGTCGGGTGGATTTACAGTATGTGTTCAGTCCCAACAATTCAGATTTTTAATTTTTTTCCTGGTTTAAAAATGTGTATTTATTTGTGAGAATCCACATACACTTTTAACTTAACTGAACACTTTGCCATAGAAATGAGGTCACAACTTTGATTTAGTGTGACCCAAAAAAAAAAAAAAAAAACATTAACAAAATGAAGAAGTAAAATAAACCTTTGATCAGCTGCCCATCATGTTCTGTCATGTAGATGCAATTTTAAGTGCTTTACCTTGTCTGAGCGGCCGTTGTTGAGGCTGAGGTTGCTGACGGCTGCCACCTTGGCATCCAGCACCTGCTGCTCTCTCTTCAGCTGCTCCTTCATCTGCCGAGCCTCGGCGAAGGCCTTGGTCACCGCCTCGTGGTCGTTCAGGTAGGCTGTCGAAGACAGCGACGACAACAAGTCTGCTGAGGCGCAAAGACGGCAAGAGACGGAGACACACGCACACAAACACACACGCAGAGGACAATCAATTAATGTGGATAATCATTAGTGAGTGAATATGTAGGTGGGACTCATGTTGAGCATCTTCATCTCCTTTATTTCCTTTACAAGAAAAACACTGAATAGCATTTTGCTTTAACAGTTGAGCTCGGACGGGAAAATTAATATGTCTTGAGCGTGTGCTTGTTTATTTTTAGGAACCTGGCAGGAGGTTTTTCATGCAGAATAAATCTTCTTCTGAACCGTGAGGTAAAGACATTAACATACACTTGATGAGGGGACTTTGCCAGAGCATCTGTGTATGCCTCTCTCTGTGTGTAGACTCGCACACTCACACAAACTGACCATTTGACTGTTGAGCTGTGGATGTGAGTCAGAGAGCGCCCCTAGGTAGCCTTGTTGCAAGCTGCCCACCACCTCCCACCTGCCATCAGCCTTAAATACACACACACAGCCACTCTAAACCACTCAATATCCTTTAAACGACATTAAAACTCACTTTCGCACATCTGACGGCTGTGACTCTTTTCATCTGAGCCCTCACAGTCCTGCTTTGAAGAGAGGTGGCCACACTCTTATTACAGCTAAAAAGTCCTGCTAATTTTCCCAGTTGTGAACATCTGCTCCGCAAAGATCAGATCTCCCCACTCCTTCTCACTGCCTATTACTCGTATTATTTCTGCAGCTTAGCTTCTGATGAGGCATCTGCTCTGTGTGCACTGCTATCGCCTCTCCCTATCAGTCGGGTAGGTTCTTAACAAAGAGCCCCGGCTGGCTTATGAGGCCTTTATCTGCGCTAATCCGCACCGCTAATGCCATCTCAGGCCAGATTACCAGCTTCAGATTGGTAATGACAGAGCTGTGAACTCTTACAGAAGTCATAACCGGAAAATCTGGATGTGGAAAAAATAAAAAAAAGAGAGAAAAGAAAAGAGAAAAAAAGGGTAAGGGGCAGCAGGGTTGGGAGGGGATGGAAGAGGAAAAAGACAGAGGGTGATGGAACTGGGTGGCGGTCAATTTTAATCTGGAGTCAAAAATGGGTTTTTTTTCGTGCCTACAATCGTGTTCGTCGCCTAAACTGACTGCAATGCCAGACATCCAGACAAGTAGATGTGACCCAGATAGAGGGGTGGGGTTGGAGGGGGGTCTTGCTCCCTCGGTCAACTTTTTTCTGAAATCTCTACAGACAAGTGTGATACATTTTAGACCCCACACACACACACACACACACACACACACACACACACACACACACACACACACACACAAAACAAAACAAACAAAAAACAAAGGGGGAGCTGCAGCGCTTTATGACAGCGACAGAGACGAATGTGTGATCGTGGTAGAAGTTACAGGAGCTGACAGCACTTCAGTTCAGTTTGAAATGAGGAGATGGACAGACAGACGAAGAGGCGGAAAGAAGACACATGCCTCAAGCTTGATAGGTGTCAGAATTTGAAAGGAAGCAGGACAGTAGGGCGGATATGAGCAACAGACAAATCCAAACTCACGCATATTGAAGCCTAAAAAAAAAAGGCGACTTTCTCCAAACTTTTTCGTGTTGAACTGTATTTGATTATTAGCTCCAACATGTAAAAAGTACTTTTGTTTAATTTTTAGCTGTTTGTGCTCGAGATTGTTCTGATTCATTTTTGTTCAGGATGCAGCAAAATAACACGGAACAAGCTTTCAGATAGTGATGTAAAAATAAAAACAGCATATCCCACAGGAATATGGTGGAGCAGAGAAAGAAAAAAAGCTCATTTTATGATTTCTATAGTCTTAAAGAGTTGACCTGAGAGCAGATGACTGAATTCAAATAACCTGAAAAAGGCAGACATAATCTGCACCATCCTGACAAACAACTCGCTTCCACATCAAAACAACCACCTCTCGACTCCATCCCAATTGGTCTGCTCCTTCCATCCCCGATAAACTACGTAACAGGAATCCCAATGCGGCTGTGAGTTGTAATAGCAAATGCTCCGGCGACCGGCTAAACTCAGTGGCAACAGATGGGACCATGAGCTGCAACATAACTGGGATCTGACACACTCGTCCCCACGCTCAAATAATTCAACAGGGATCACACACAAACTTTAAACACTGTAATCCATTTTTCTGAACAAAAAACATCTGGGACTGAAAATCCACTAATCTGATATTAAATCCGCCGATTTGTTGAAAAACAGTGAGATTAGCCGGGAAGTCGGAAAAACTGCCTATTGCACAGGAGGAGGAGGTGGTGGTGCTGGGATTGTGTTTCTGTGCGAGTGTGTGTAAGAGCCTTTGTGTGCATCTGAGTGAATGTTTGAGTGCGTGTGCTGTCATTGTGTCATTAATGCTGGGTGTTTGCGCTGTCCCGGCTCATGTAAGAGGCTTGTCTAATCTCATTGGTGATACCTCCTGTCTGTCATGCACTCCTCTCTTTATTATTCCCCCGCTTAGTTGCATGGAGGGGAAAAAAGTGCTAATCCTCATCTCTCTCTCTCTTCCCCCCCCCCTTACCTCCTTTCCCTCACTCCTCTGTCTCTTTCAGTCACTAATAAACACATAACAATGAAGCAGCCCCGCGGGCAAATAGCGACATGGAAGAACAGCACAAACACACTAATTATAGCCTGTTACATATGTGTAATATTTGAACTATCAGTGGTGCGTGAAAAATGGATTAAGAGTACAAAATAGTGATTCATTTATGTCATATTTTGTACGTGTGCATATGGCCGGGTCTGATTATGGTACTGGCACTCGCAACAATGGCACCACTGCGAGAAGAACGCTATTCTTGTCATCAGAGCTATAACTGTTTTTCTAAAAGAAGTTTATTGTCGTTGTGGGAACAACTTCCAAGCACCTTTCACAGGAGAGCATTGAAATATATAAGTGCTTATGGAACTGTGGTAAACATCCACTGACAGCTTATTGGCAGGAAAAGAATTCATTGTTTAGATCAGGGACACCAAAACATGGCTATAAGTTACATTTCCTATACTTTAAATGGCTTTGCTACAAATTACATCGAAGGCTTATCAAGCCAACGGTATATTCTGGGGCATTCACTAACATCACTGAACGAGGCTCTGCTGGTTATTTTGAGGTTTCTTCCTGTAAACTACGGATGGATGGACTGAATGGATTTGCCATCAGAGCTCCCAAACTGTGCAGCAGTCCCTCTGAATCACCACTCTGGTGAATCTCATAATACATTCTTTATTCAGAAAAGATTTTTTTTAATGAAAGTTGGACATTGTGACACTTTTTTCTTATCACGTTTTCTGGTGATTTGTTTGTTTATTTTATGATCCTGGGATGTTTTTATCACTTGTGGGTTTCTTTTGTTCTTTTTTGGAGTCTTCCTGCAAAGCACTATGTAATTTTGTTAAATACAAATTTGATGAGTTAATGTTTATTTTTGGTCCATCAACCTATGAACAAGTATGTGGTTTAAATAATAAACATGCACAACCAAACTACTTTGTTCTAAACACTGAATACCCAACTTTTGGCCAGATAAAATGGCTTAGCTGGTCTGTGTAATCCTGTGTAAGCATACCTGTAGTGAGTTCAGCACCTGTCCCAATCAATGTGGAAACTGGAGTACCAGTTGCCCCTCAGTCCAAGAAAACAGATATTTTGGTATAGGTTTAACTATTTTACATCTATGTAGGTGTCTAGCTTTGCAGGAGTATGACATCAGCACAGTGCAAACTGCTGTGATTGTTTTTTGTGTGTGTGTGCTGTGAATGTGTGAGCATTTAAATCCACTTACCAATTGAGCTGACTCTGGTCGGTGGTCCTCCAATGCTGGAGGGGGCAACGCTGTGCTTCATGGAAGTGGGGTCCAGCTTGTTCGCAGCAGCAGCAGCCGGCACCTGTGGGGAAGTTGGGGGGGAGTTGGGTGACTTGCTCTCGGATGCCTTAGGCTTGGCCGACAGGTTCAGTGGCTGTGCACCCTCACTGTCCTGCAAAAACCAAAACAGCACAGTTTCGCCTGCTGTGACCACCGAAGGAATTTGGAAGCGGGAGGCGCGGGGCCCACCCTCGCCCTCCCCTCACCGAGACCACTTTCAATGGAGGTGTGCTAATCAAACGGGAGCCCATGCACAGCAATCTGAGGCAAGCCCGGGCGGGATGAATCACAAGGTGCATGCCACTGCCCCTTTCCAAACAGCTCGTAATAAGCGAAAAGATAAACATAAAAATAACGGCACATACAAAAATAAATATTTGCATATTTTGGTGCGAACCACTGACATTCACATGCAAAATAACCGACTTCCTGTCACAGCAAACTCGACCTTCAAACAAGGCAGTTCATGCACGTGCACACTCCACATGCAGGCTCCGGCAAACATGCACTATGGTACTTCACATGCTAAAAACAACCAAACACACGAGGACGAGAAACACCTTGAACTCATTCGTAAAACTACAGTCTTTCACAGAGAAAAACACCTCCCTCAGAGAGTCTTTAGAGGTGTGAGAGTCTTAAGACACTGAACAGAGGGCTGTCTGTCACTTCAATGTGCACTTGGTCCATTAGAAACGGGGGACCTTCATGGTCGGGAACGTACGTGTGTGTGGGGAAAAGCAGAGAAGCCCTTTCTGCCTCACCCAAAAACGCACCCATAGCACCTAACAAACGATCAATACGATTCTTAAAGCAGCTGGTTTTTGAGGTCCATTTTGTTAACAATATTTATCAGAGATAAACAGAATCCCTCACTTCCTATTACTCGTACTGCACAAACCTGGGCTGCAATTAAACCAGAGGAGCAGAAGGGGGCGCTCGTAAGATAGCCTTCAATTAATAGGAGTTAATGGAGCTAAAATAATTTTTCTCAATCTGATTTTTATTTTTAGACCAAAGCCTCAAATTTTATTTCGCTATTTTAACTTTTTAGAAAATATGTCCGAGCTGAAATAGAATAACTTTATCTTCCTTAAAGGGAAACTTGGTTGTCCCATAAAAATGATAGCATTTTGCTAATGTGTGTTGATGGGTCATTAAGGTTAATAACACAAAACATAAAAACTAAAACATGGTTAAAATGACAGAGAACGACATGCGTACAAGAAGCAGCTGTTGGGGGAGGTTGACTGTGATCGCTATCATGTGGCTGCTCGTAGCCGCTGCACATTTCGTGAGTGAAATCAAAATGGTGCATGCTGTTAAGTGGCTTGTGGTGTTGTGACATCCCAAAGATATTTGACTACAAATAAACCTGACAAAAATCTAAAAGTGATGATCACCTTCTATTGGAAACAGAGACCATTTTTGGAGGAAAAAAAAGTGTTTACTCCAAAAGATTTACATGCTTGACGTGTAACACAGTAAGGATCCATTTGTTCTGTACCATCTTCTGAGCGCCCCGCATGAAATCGGAAATCCAGACACTAAAAAACGTAAAGTATTCCTAAATTCTTTGATTCGATTAAATTCCCCTTCCATCTATCACTGTGTTGCTCGGCACACGGCAACATCCTCAACACAACAGACAGCGCTCCTTAAGTAAATCGCCATGTGGACCACCACTGTTATCATGTTAACTGTCATGGCAACATCACCCCTGCTGATGACCTAATCCAATCAGGAGGAACCTTAGAAGGTCACATGACAGGAAGGAAGAATTGGATCGCAGAGGGGCCAGATGTACACAAACCACTCTGTGTAATTAAAACTCCACAATTAAAAGCCAGACACAACATGAGAGGATGGACGGCTTAACGGGTCAGCCAGCTAAAGGCGCACAACAGAGTCAAAATGAGGCCTACAAATACAGTTTCCTTGGTTGTTTCACAACATTCATCTTGTGTATACTTTGGAAAACAGGATAAAAGAGAAATTTTGCCATTACAGGTGTAGCAAAATTTAAGCCTTACAGCAGAGAGAATAGAGACATTATTTGTCCTTATTTTCTGGTCATTAGTCTAATTGCTGCTTAGGCAAAGTAGAAACTGGCATACAGTGGAAAAGAGAAACTGTTGTGTGTATGTGTGTGGTATATTCACTCATTAAGGCCGACTTTCCCTGATTCCCACTCCTTGAGTCTTACTAAGCCTTATGAGCCCCTCACAACTCAATTAAGCCTTTCCAATTAAGCCCCCCTACATGTGTACGTGTTCATGCATGTGCGTGAGTGTGTGTGCACGCAATGAGGCCTAACCGGATTGTCCTTCATTAGGAGGGGTGGGGTGGGTTGGGGGTGGGGGCTTTCTAAATAGATGGAGGACCCCCCAAAGATGCCTTCAGTGAGACAATGGGCTGGAGAAGATGAGGAGAGAAAGGAGAAAACTGAGGAGGATCTTCTCAATCCTGACCCATATTATGGTGGGCTTTGGCTGGGAACGTGTTTGAATATTTATTACAAATAGATAATGCCTATGCCTCTTGTACAGTGGATTGGGGGAGTTTCCCTTCGCGCCAAGCCAAATCCTGTGGTGGGAAGGTGGCCAACCTGCATTATGCCAGTGTGGAGGAATTAGTTTAGACAGTGGAGCTGAGAGGCTTGGACAGACTTGTTTGTGTGTGTGTGTGTGTGTGTGTGTGTGTGTGTGTGTGTGTGTGTGTG